TCTGGTCTTATGTTTCAGTTAAGACGTAGCTTTCCATAGAGATTATTTGCATCCAAGTTGCTATAAACTTGTGGTTGAACAGTCTATGGAACACTTACAGGACAAGCTCTGAATTTTTCTGGTAAAAACTTTAGTGCTGTATTTATATAAATGAAACCTCTGCAGTCCTTAAGCGCTGCTGTTACACCTGCCACACTGTAGCACTTAATAATTCTCATTATTGCACTGTCCTAAGTCACAATTTTGTTTTCATTGCACAGGTGAGAATGCCAGGAACGTAATGTTTCTGCCATTATTGTGTGAGCTTATTTTACAGTTTAGTTTCTTTTCATATTGCTTTTTAGACAGTGCATTCTTGACATTCTCTCAAGAATTGCAGCATTTTTTCAGGAGCTATGAGTAGGATAGTTTCTGTTAGGAGAGCCAAACAATCTGTTCAGAGCAATATTGAGTACCAGCAGTATATTTATTAACAAGCCTTGTCTGTAACAAAAAGCTTATTTAAGCTTTGCTATGTTTTTGAGGACTAAGAGAAGCAAAAATAAGGAGACTTGAATCAGTTTGGCATATTATTAATTTCGGTAACATGTTGCATTATTAAAAATAAATGTTACTGATTGCAGAGCCTTGCTAATGGGCAATGTCTATAAATGTGTAATCAGTGTTAAAGAGAGTTGTATTGTTCCTGTATTGTGCTTATTGATTAGATAATGTTTGCTGCTTAGTAACTTACAGATAAGAGAGATTGTTTTGGACATCCTGCATTGCCTTATGTGTCCTGGGAAGTGACATTGAACTGTGTGATTGAAGCAGATGTCTATGAATAAATGTACCAAATGTTTACAGTAGTTGAAAGCTGTAGGGAAAGATTAACCAAACCAATGCCAAGTTCTAGGAAGAGCCTTACAAAGAACTGAGGGTTGTGCAGAAGAATCTCACTGTACCTTATGACCTTTCCTCTATTAATAGGAAGCAGTGAAGATGGAGAAAAAGATTAAATTAATTTAAACTTCCTCGGACTACTTACATAAAACACACAGACTTTGTGTCTGAGACTTCTTTGTGTAAACTCTGGATCCTCCTGGAGTAACACAGGTAATCAAGAAGTACTGAGAAACGAAAGTAAACACTGAAAGCAATGTTAAATCAGGACATTAATTTGAATGTGTATTTAACTTTGTAATGTATTTTTAAATCAGTGCAATTTTGCTTTTCATTGACAGACGATTCTGCCGCTGTTTTCAAGTACTTGAAGTATTTTTCAGATAACTTAAACAAGTAAAGCAATTACACTACAGTCTGGTTTATGTATGAGATTGTATAATATTCTTTTTATATTTTTCCATGTAGTTCATTATCTATTTGAACCTACACCTGTTGTAGAATTGTGTATAACTGTCCTGTGCAACAGGTGGCTGTGTTGATGGAACTGTATGAATGATAGTTGATCAGTAGTGAGCCATATTTATTCAAAAAGATATCACTACATATTACTTTGCTTATTACAATTGCACTATGGATTATTCTTCCTTTATTTCCTGATGATGTACAGAATCAAAATCTTAAATCTTTCAAGGAAAATAAGACAAGTTGAATTGGCCCAGTTATCCAGTTTAATTTGTCCTTTTTGTAGCCTTTGCTATGCACGGTACTTGTAAAACGTACATAACTTCTGAGTATTATGTTAGACTTGCTGAAATCTTATATTCAGTACCATTTCTAAATGATAATGATTATAGAATGGTTGTTAGTGTTCATGTTTTATAGGAACTGGAAAAGAATATATGATATACTCTGGAATTTTTAGATGAAAGAGAGAATGTCTCTTAATTCCTACATATGATCCTACTGACTGCTCAAACTGTAATAGCATCTGACTATATCACAATTAAGGGCCTTCCAGTTTTTACTGCAATTTCTGCCTTGGAGAAGGAAGAGCAAAAATTGGCTGTACAAAACTGTGGAATTTATGAATCTTATAAAAAGACTAATTTCAGTAGCCTGGCTTTGGGTACACTTGGCCCTTCAGTTGTACATTCTGTGAATTTTGAAGCTCTCCTGCCGACGGCAGACGGGGCTCTGTTCAGAGGCCTGTGGTAAATCTACCTCTTGGTGATGTGATGACAGTGAAGGTTTGGATTAACAGTTAATGCCCAGTTTTGCACCCTTGGTAAGGCCAGACCCACTTTAAAATGTCTGCAAGGCTGCATGGTACACCTCGAAATGCATCCTGAGCAAAGGGTGCCATCCTGTAAGTTTGCTCTGAAGTCTGTAGGGAAGGGAAGACACTGGGGGGGTTTAACCTTCCCGCTCTCCCATGCATCTGGCTGCTTCAGCCCTTCCAACTGCTCGGAAAAAAGTTATCCTTAATTATTACTCCAAAGTGAGTTCAGTTGAGAAACAAATCCCTGACCTCTTGGAATGCCTTATGCAGCTGTGGATCTGTAGGAAACACTGATAGGAACAGTTTACCTGGGTTTGTGTTTTAGGACACTACAATACAAATGTGCTGAAATATGAAGTACTTTGTATTTTAGTGGCTGTTTTGGCAGGGCTTGAGCTAATGATGGTCCAAGTGCTCTGTGTCCAGATCCTGTCACCAGAGAATTTTCATCAGATGAAGATGGGAAAACTAGATATTTTCAGATGTGTAATTTTTTTTGTATACCTCTATGTTCATTTTGATTTTTAAGTATGTTTTAAAATGACAGGAATATGTCAATTGTTTTTTTTTTTCCAGCATTGTTTAGCCCTTAACCAGAATGGCTTCCATACTGATCAAAAGGGAATGATGTAGTTATTATGTTATTTGAAGTTGCCAATGAATTGTTGAGATATCTTTTTCTGATGAGGCACTCAGGTTTGGAGTTAGTCAGAACTGTTCTTCAGTATGAAGTGAGGAACTGAATTTTCCCATGGACTTTTCCCAAAACATGATTTAAAAGGCAAAGTCAAGTAGTTCTTAATACAGGCTTACAGTATATACTGTAGAGGGTTTAAGGAAGCTGTGCACTACTCCAAATATTTAAAAATATTGGTAATAGACTTTGTGCACAAATTATTGCTTAGAAATTCTGTGATTCCAACATTAAACTCCTTGATACAGCTAGATCTAGGGCATTTCATCTGTCTTCTGCAATTCTCACCATAGTAAGAATGAAACTCCACAATGGTCTGCAAAGAACTTGTGGGCTTGTCTGCCTTGTGTGGTGAGAAGCCTGTCAGACCTGGAGTTCAGCCTTAATTTTGAATCATTTGCTTTACAAAATTAATCCAGAGTTAAGTAAAAGTATATACTGCAGAATGTTGTCATTTGGTGGTTCATTTTGGTTCTTATAAGTCTGGAGAATCAGATGTTTATCTTGCACATTGAGAATTTTCTTTGCTTGATGGGAATCCAAGATTTTTGTTCTCTACCTGAATTTGAAGAAAATCTTAGACAGGAAGTGAAAGTTTACTCCTTTGTCCACATGGACTCATTGCTAATGAATTGCCAAAGGAGCATTTTTTCCAAAATTAGATGTGTATTATATTAAGCAAGGTAATGTCCTTTTTAGCTGTACAATGAAGAGAAAGAAATATTTAAAGTTGACTCACCTCACTTAAGCAAGGATTTTAATTTCAGTAATCCAGTAGGCTGGATTGCAATAAGATAGATGGTCTTTTGGGGGAAAAATATACTTAAAGATCTGATCAACTACTAGCAATACTTCAATATCTGCCTGGCAGTCAAGTGGCACAATGAAGATGAATCAGTAATTCCAATGTGTTACATTATAATGAGGGGATTTGTTACAAACCATTCACTACAGGTAATTTCTTGCACTAGCTACTTAAGCCTGGTCTCTCTTTGAGAAGTACATGTATCTATTTTCAATGGTTTATTATGAGGACTGGTTACAGTTTAATTCCTTCTCTAGTAGAATACCTGGATTGTTTGAATAATGAAGGCATTGTCTCAATTTGGCTACTAAAGGTATTTAAAAGATCTGATTTTTCCCACCTAAAGAAGTTTGTTTAAAACTTGGGATCTGTAGTAAGAAGCCAAGAGAGCGAGAAGAGTGTCCAGTTTCAATGGGAACACCTGTACTCTCCCAAATCCCCCAGCTGCAGATACACTGTGTATAACTGCATTTATGGAAATTGCCATTTTCATGAAATGAGCGGATTTAACTTTTTTTTTCTCATATCCTTGTTGATGCACTAATGAAAGCCATTTAAGCCTCATTCTTTTTATCAGTATTTTTAGCAGATTTTTATGTAGTACTCAATCTCTTTCATAAGGAGGCTGGTTAGTAGAGAGACCTTTTTTTTTACAGTTAAGCACTATCCTAAAATGTCAGCATTGTCAGGTGTCAGTGACATGGCTATTTGTGTTGGAGTTGCTGAAAGGTGGAATCCAAGTATTTTAGCCTTATAAGAAATAGCCTTAAATATGAATGGAGTGTACAAAATTACTTCAGCTTTAAGTCATACAGAAATATCCTTGTATGTTAAAAGTTTTGGTACAAAACAGGAAGAAATCTAGAGGAGAGTCAAGCATCATATAAACTTATTGAAAATAAGTATTTGTAATACCAGCAGCCTGTTTTTCAGAAACTTGAATATGACTTACAGTTAATTTTGTTTATGAAATTGTTTGAACTTGCACAGATGTAGGTGTAACTTAAATGATAAATGGTACTGATGTGTGTGTATATATAATGTTTAATTCTATTTGTAAATGAGAAACTATGTAACAAAATCATAGGTATGAGGTTTTCCTATTGTAATTTAATACAGGTATGAGGTTTATGGCAATATATCATAGTTAATGAAATTTCAGGTCAAAATGTCTTTAAATTGTGTACATTTTTAAATTGTAATTTCTACTGTATATTGATTATCATGCATAGTGTGATTCAAGAAACTGCTTGTAATTTAAAAATATTTAATATTAAAAATAAAATACAGTTATATATTTATAATCTCTTTGTCTGTTTGTTCATTTTTAAACAGATGGCAGCAATGGATCAGGTCTACAGTGTAGTTCCAGTGTAAGATATATTTATTAGAGTCCGGAGGTTGAGAAAGTACCAAAAGTTCAAAGCCACAGTCCCAGCAGATGAGTCTACACTAAATAGTGTAGTTACCATTAATTTCTTCCAATATCATCCTTGTGAGAACTTCAGGTAATGTGCGTACAGTCAGTAGAGCAGCAATAACTGAAATACAAACTGTAGTTCTGAACACTGAATATTGGTTTTAATCATAGAATTAAGTATCAGTAAGAAGAATGCAGACTTCAAAATTTATAAGTACTCTTCAGAAAACAGGTTAATGATGTTTTCTCAGTATTCATTTAATTTCTTTCTAGAAGATTTTCTTGGTTTCTTTCAATCCAAGTGCATGTGCTGAATGGACCAAAGAGGTAAATGTAGTCCTTGTGTGTATTGGGAGCTTCTTTCACATGAGATTGAGACTGTTTCAGCCTGAGCACGTGGTGAGGCAGGAGGAGAGTGCTGGTTTTCCCTGTTATTCCTTCAGTTTGGGATGGGACTGGCAGCAGTCAGGGGTTAGTGGAGGCTGTGGGTGAAGCCCCCACATCACATCGCAGCCGTTGAGTCCTGGCAGCTGCTGAGGGCTGGGAATGAGAAACTGATAGCAAGATAACAACTTTGTTAGGTAAAATATAACTACTGCGCTGAAACTTGACCAAGGCAGCCATCATTAATGAGAGCAGATGTAAAAGATCCCATGACACTAAATTGGTCATCCTATATCGAACCTATTACCGAAGAATTTGAGAACTTGCAATCTTTAGCAGCAGCAGCTCCCTGCAGGGGATGGCAGTGCTGTGTCTGTGGGCCGGTGTCACACGGGGGCTGAGAACTTGCTCAGCCCTTGGCAGAACAGAGCTGACACAGCCTTTGGCCTCCTCCACCCGCTGAAGGAGGCACTGGAGTGCCCTGTCCTGTGGTGGCAGTGCCCGGCTCAGTGCCCGGCTCAGTGCCCGGCTCAGTGCCCGGCTCAGTGCCCGGCTCAGTGCCCGGCTCAGTGCCCGTCAGCGACACCCGCGCTGCTGCAGTGCTGCTCCCCCTGCCATGTGTCCCCGGGAGCCTTGTGACCATCCCGAAAACGGCAGGGAGCCTTGTGCCGGCCGCTGTGTCCATGCACGGCCCCGGCTGTGGTGAGGGGGTGTCGGCGTGCCGGGTGTCCCTGCCCGGTGCCTCCCCGCGGTGGGACCGCAGCTCCCGCCCGCCCGCGCCGGGCCCGCCCCCGCTGCTAAAGCGACGTGTCGGGCGGCCCGGCCGGCACCTGCGGCGGCCTCAGCCTGCGGGGCTCGGGCCTCCGGGGCTGTGCCAGCGCTGCCCCGCCGCCCCTGCGGCCCCCTCAGCGACAGGCAGGTCCTGCTGACAGACCCTGGCTTGGCTAGAGGACCTGCAGCCTTCCGTCCCTGTTGCCCCCTCAGAGCCTCCTGCTGCTCCTGGCTCCCCGTGGGTCTCTGCTATGGTGCCCCGTGGGCCTTAAGCACGTTCTCTGCAGCTGGTGCAGTGGTAAGTCACAGTGGAGGGACACCAGCCCTGATAGATGGCTGCAGAGGGTGGAAAATGTGTTGGTATTTGGCTGCTCTCTCTCCTTGGTTTCTCTTGACCACCCCAGTGTGTTGCTTCTGAACTCCTCCTCAATCTGTTTCCTCCTTGCACACTCGTACCACCTCCCTGGGGGGTCCCACCAGCTCCTGTGGCTGCATAGGATGTCTTCTCAGGGTTGCAACAGCATGCAGCAGTCTGAAAGCAGACCTCAGCCAGCTAGGCACCTTCTTATCCCATCATATCCCAACTGCTTTTGCCAGTCTGCAGTTTTAAAGATTACTTTGCTCCCACAGTTTGCTGAAGCTTCCTTTCTCTTGGATTTTCTTCCAGCTTTCTTTGCTGGCTGCCTCCATGAATCTCTTCTTCACCAAGTCCTGTTGGAAGGCTGTTTTCCTTCCAAGCAGCAGCTCTCCCCAGTGGTGCTTTGTGCTGTCCTGCAGTTGGGCCTTTTCTGCTGATTACACAAACAGTCCAGAACAAACCCTGTGCTTGCCTTTTATGCTGTTTTCCTGCTGAAGATACCCCTGTGTCTCCAGCATTTCTTCTGGGCTCCTACAGCTGAGCTGCTTGGTGCTGTCTTTCTCTCAGCATTCATCACCTGGGTGCCACCCTCACCCAGCTGCTTTGTGAGTTCCTGTAACGTTTGCTAAAACTGCCTCCCTGGTAGTACAGAACCTGGGGATGGCCAGGGTGCCCTCCCAGGCAGAGAACTGAGTCCCTGCCTGCCCAGCAGCTGAACTTGGCTCTAGAGAAATGAGAAACAAGAGGGGAAGTGGTGTTTACCACAGCACACCCGGGAACTGCCACCACCTGCTCCAGCTGAGGATGATGTCCTGTGCTGGGGCAGTCACACACCTGGGGCAAGGTTTTACTTCTTCTTTTATTTATTTTTTTATTGGCTCACCAACTCTCAAGCTGCTCCTATGTAATAGAACTGGTATAAAAATATATTTTGTTTAGACCAAACCTTTCTCTGACTACATCAAGTGTAAGAGCACAGAAGGAGCATTCTGAGAATGTCTCTCAGTAACTCAGATGGTTGGTGTTAGAGGCAGGGTTGCTGTAAGGCTGTTGTCTTCAGATGTAGCGTGGGCACAGAATCTGGGCTGAGATAGAGTAAAATATCAATGCTGTCATCTGCCCTGCTAATATGGGGGAAGGAGCGTTGCTGTGTCTTTTTGGATAACCTGGGAAATAACCTGCCCTGCTGCTGTCGATCTGGGGCAGCAACTGCAATTAAGCCCTGGCAGTTAATGGATTATTGTTGGAAGAGGGAAGTGCTTGGTTTTTTTGGAGGGGGGGGGGACGAGGACTAGCCCAGAATGCAGAAATACTGCAGCTGAAAACACGTGGCTGACTCTGAGCTTCTCCAGGAAGTGAGTGCGCCTGTGTCCCTCTAGTGGACTGCTCGAAAACATAGTGGGAACCTGTTCCTATACAAAGCAATTGCCAGGAGTTCAAGGAGAATTACTCTGAGTAAGAACCTGAGGGTTCTGTCTAATACCCCCCCACACAGGTAGAGTGAAGCCGTGTATGGTTTTATTATAGTGTGGGGTAATGAGCTGTGACACAACAGGAATGTATGAGATCAAAAAATTGAAGCAACATGTTATCAAATCTAATTGACCATTGTACTCTACATGAGTTTTGAGTTGTAGTTCACTTTTCTGCAGGAAAACTGGATTAGCTTGGGGACCATTTTCTCTTATGTACAGAGAAATCTCTCTAGTTTGAGACCTACTTCTAAAAAAGCAGAAGCATCTCTTTTTCACCAGTGGGTGATTCACTGCATCTTCGTTTCTGTGGTTCCATTCACTTGTCCTCTGCTCCCTCTGTAACTTCTTCCTGCCAGCTGAAGGAGGATCTGTTCTCTACAAAAGGATTTTCTCCTCTGTTCATCTGCACAGGTCATCTTGAGTAACAACATTCACAGCTTCTAAAACAAACGTCACTTAAATTGAGAGCCAGTGAGGGTTTTTCAGTAAGTGAACCAAGTAAACAAACACATCAAACCAACCTGCACCAGATCATTGGTCCAGGAGGGAACTGTACAACAGCCAACAATATCGGTGTCATGTTTTTACAGCACAGTGGTGCTTAATACCAGCACATCCAGCAAATCATGAAGACTAAAACCAAAGGAAAGAAGCAAAGGCAAACTGTTGACAAAGAAGCATTTTCTGAGGAGTCAGCCATGAGAAAAAAAGAACTGGCAAAATGTTTGCGACGCAGAGAAAGGAGGAATGGGGGAAACAAGGAGAGCAGTAAGATCACTGCAGCCAGAGCCAAGCGCCCTTGGAGCACCAAGGACAGGCACCTGAGGAGGCTGGAAAGCAACGAGAGGGAGAGACAGAGAATGCACAAGCTCAACAACGCGTTCCAGGCCCTGCGGGAGGTGATCCCTCACGTGAGGGCTGAGAACAAACTGTCCAAAATAGAGACTCTCACACTGGCCAAAAACTACATTAAGTCCTTGACCTCCATTATACTCAATATGTCCAATGGACACTTTCCAGCAGCAGAAGGGATGGGGGGAACCTGGGGGTCCAAATTGTACCAACATTATCAACAGCAGCATGGGGAGGGTGACCATGAGGAACATCTACAGAAATGTGCCACGTAGATTCATAGCTTCAGCCAGAGCACCCACAGTTAGCTGCTGCCATCATTATTTTTCCTTCTTACATCATAATACATGTCAGTAATTGGAGCTTTTAAGAGACTGTTTTTGCCTCCAGCTCTCCCCTCTTTTTTTTTTTTTTTAAAGACAAACAGGCAACACTCATGGCTCTAGTTTATATGGCACATTAAAAAGCTACCTTAAACTATAAGAATTTTTCAGAGCATAATGAATGTATTGTGGGTTTGCCAGAGCTTGGAAACCTATCCTGTAACACTGGAGTTGACTTGAATATAAGGATTTAGTAACTTTTGAAAGTCACCCTCCTTGGGAAGGTTGTGAGTTGAGCTTTTAAGGTCTGTGTCACCTGAGTTCTTTGGAGCTTGGGGAATTGTGGCTGTAGCTCTGTTCCCCAGCCTTGCAGTGCCTGTTGTGATCTCCCAGGCCACAGAGGAAAATAAAATTGATGACTGAAGTGACGGGATGGGAAATCAGTCACTAAATCTGAATATTTATCTTAATATTTATCTTTTATGGATCTGCTCTGATAATTTTGAACCTTGCAAGGGATAAGAACTTCTAAAATACTTGTTGATGCAAACATCTGCAAAGCTTTCTTAGGCTGTAAGCTCTCTAGAGTAAGGGCAGTTCTGGTCTGTGTTTCCAGACCATCCTTTAGTTGGTGTCTGGGTATCATTGCAATACAAATAATAAATAAGGGACAAATGACTTATTTTTGCCAAAACAATGATAAAAATGCTTTAGTATAGTCTTAAGTTAGACATGATTTAGCCAATTTAAATTATTTGCTAATGAAGCCTGTGATGTGATCATGTTCTTTATGGGTTAATATTAGATTCTGGTACTATAAAACAATAAATGCAGAAACTCTTCAAAAAGGAAAATGAGGGTTTTTTTCACCTCTCCTCCCCCCATTTCCCCTCTTACACTAAAATGTTTTATGTCCCTGAGGAACCCTCATTTTCTCTTGTATTCTCACACCTGAAGCTGGAAGGGCCTCAGTTGGTGCCTGTGGGGTCCCCTTGGTACAGCTCGTCCTCCCCACCCCCCCCAGGCCTGTGCTGGGATAGCAGAGGGGACATTTGGCAACTCATGCACCACTGGGATTGACAGACTTTGTGGTGTGGCCCTTCTTCCCACAAAGTAGGGCTGTCCAAGGAGAAACAGTGGCTGAGGAAGGATTTATTGGATCCATGAAGGTTTTGCTGCAGTGTGCAGTTTGTGTGTTATTTATTTTGCTCCAGCACAGCACAATGATTTCATTTGGACTTGAAGGTGAGGGTTCCTGGACTGGCTGGTCAGGGATATGAATTGTTTTCCCCCCCATAACAATCCACAGCTGTGATGTAGAACAACACAATGGTTTGTGTGTGTGGTTGCCTTACTGGAGAGATTATTTGGATCCTGCCTCAACCTGACATTTCCTTAGCTTTTGAACTGTTTTCACACTAAAATAGATGTGATGAAGGCCTTCTCAAACTGCAGTGTTAATTGAAGTATTGCTGAGTTACACATTTCAGTTGCCATTACAGTGCTGGATCTTATTCCATTCAACAGCTGCCCTGTGTTGATAAATTAGTCCTTATTGTATTTATAAGTTGTCTGATTGTAATGGGAGAAATAAGTAATTCCAAGGCGTTTTCTTTCTGTTGTTCCACTCAGCGTCTCTCCAAGTTAGAGCTGTGGGATGCTCTTTGGTCATTTCTGAAGTGCTGTGCTCTCGGAGATGCCAAAAGGGATTTTTTTAAGAAGCGGGTTTTTTTTCTGATAAATTACTTTTATTTTTCAAAATTGCTTTAATTTAAAGACACTTTTCCTTATTTTAACTAGCCACAACAATGACATTATATTTTAAATTAAATAATTTTTCTAAATAATCATTTTAGAAGGCAAATACTTAGTACTCAAACACAACCAACTTATAATTTATCTTTTTTTTTTTTTCACTTAAACCCAACTATTTACAGTAAAGTAAGTAAAACTTGGCAATGTAGGGAAAAATGCAAAGGTACATTATCAAGCTTATTGTGTGCAATCAGGTTGATTGTTGGATATGTAAACACTGACTATTAAAAGGAAAAATCTTTTGGATACAATGCAGAGAAAATACAATCCTAATAATTCTCTAAAAATACATGTAATAAAGTTATTTATTTGGACAAGATACTGTGCAAGTTATGCAAAACCTATAATGGTAATTAATGCAAACATGTTATTTATGATTCTCCCACAAGGTAGGTATAAATCCGAAATCTCTACTCACATACTGGAAAGATCAACAGGTTCTTTTGAAACAGTTAAGCATCTTCAGTCTTCATTCACATTTGGACTTGGAAACAGTGCTTTCCTTGGCATTAAATACCAAATATATTCCTTAAATACGTGCAAACATAAGTTTTACTTCTACAAATACAGTACTGAGACCACACCAAACTGCTCATCATATAAAAATAACTCCATATAGTCACACACACAGAGGAAAAATGAATGTAAACTGTCCAATTATAATAAGTAACTGGGGAAGAAAAGCTTTTTTTTGAGAATAGAAGGTGGTTTCTTGTTGGAAAAAGGGATGAGTAAATCACTTACTAAAACCAAAGAGCAGAGCTTCATTCTGAACCCCCATCAGTATTACACTGGCAAACTCCACTGATAGCAGTGAAGTCCCTTTGCACTGTAAAGTCAGAATTTAAGCTTTTCTCTTGAGTTTTACACTATGAAAGCATAATTTGCAATGATCTGGAACACAGCCTAACTCCTCAAGTGTCTGGTGCCTTCCAGCCCCTTTAGGGAGGCATCTGTACACCCCAGTTATCACAGTTCCAGTTAAGATAAAGACAAAACATAATTTACCCCCCCTTTGGAGTGACAGTTCAGAACAGATGTCACTGCTGGACTCTGCTCCCTACCCAGTCTGGCTGAAAGCAGTGGTTCTACTTCTCGAGTGAGATATTGCTCACTGTGAGCAAAAACAGCCCAAATTGGCCCTTCCTGGTAACTGCCCCCCACGCTGAGTTGTTCAGGATTTGATTTTACTGATGGGAGCAGGAACCCAAGCTCAGTTCTTACCCAGGGAGCACCCACAGGAGCAGAGCTCTGTGCAGGTACAAAACAGGACCAGGTATGTTTGCCTTCATTTAAATCAATCCAACATCATCTAGGCTCAAACATGAATCTGAAGAACAGTGTGTGAATATGAGAGAAATGAAGGGAACTGTAATATTTAAAAAAAAAAAGAAGTTAATGTGATCATCTGCAGATATTCACATTTGTATGGGGTGTAGCAGCTATGGTAAAGGGTCAGAAATACATTATGGTTAAAAAAACCTTGCCTGCTTTGACAAAACTATGAGCTCTATCAAGTCATGTTTTACACATGATATAGTAGAAGAATTCAGTACTTAAAATACCCCATTGCAAAGTCCAGTTCAGTCAAACACATTAGTAGCACAAAAAGGTCATGTGTTTCTCTCCAAGCAATAGACATTTAGCTTCTTTTCAACTTATACTGACTGTGCCTGTTTGCAACATGTAGATGGCGACCTCTTAACAATTAACAGCATTCCTGTCCAATTCTTGACTTTCACTGACCATCAGAGGGGTTTTAGAGTGTTCTGTTTTCCCTTTACTCTCCTCATCTTCTAAATCCTTTGACACTGCAAGGTTTTCCTCAGAGGTGTCATGACCAGTGGCCCGAGATGCTTCTGTTGCATTTCCTCTGACTGTGATGTGCTCCCACCCACCCTGGAAAAGATTGATACAGAAATTCAAAAGGAGAAACATCACCCTGCAAGTGCAATATCTGATGTGATGCTTTATGGGCACTATTCAGTTTGTTCTATTTATTCATGAGGAATCAGTAAAAAGGCTCCTTGTAAAATGAAACAAAACACATCAGACCTCTCTGGCAGGAAGCTATAGAAGTACTAAACCTGAGGATTATTTTTATTACAGGGAGCTGAGATTACTAGGGTCAGGTGTTTATAGCAGAACCACTGCAGGTTTTCCACCAACTTAAAAGGGGGCAAAACCTTGAAATAGCCTTTCTCAAAACCTTGAGAATAATTCAGGATACAACGAGGAATAATCGTGTGCAGACCAGGAAGGAACCCACTTTTTCTTTTTAAATGGCCCTTACTCCACTAGTTTTTCCATTATAATTTTTAAATTCCCTATTTAAAATGAATACTTATCAAATGCAAATAAACAACTTCCCAGCTGTAACTGCACAGCCCATTATATTGACTTAAAAAAGGAGCCTAAGACTGAAGAACAAAGGTCAGTCTCCTGCAGATACATGTGAGCTTTCCAACATTCACCAGCTGGGCAGGATGGCACTTTCCTTCCTCTGGGTGCCCGAGGACATCTGGATGTACAATTTTTAGGCAGGATCCTGCCCCCAGCACTTACCCCAATGCCATAATCCCAGGAGAGGCCTTTAGGTTCCAGGGGCTGGACACCAATCCGATGGCAGACTGTCCCACAGCTCAGACTGTGACTTCCCTGCACTTTGTCAGCAATCACCCAGACCTCAAGAAAGCAAAGAGAGGCAATAAAATGTGCTGCTCTTCCCAGATGTGAAAGCTCTGTTTGACTACTTTCAGAAATCAGTCTTGATCTTCAATAGGCCCAAACTGCTCTAATTTAGGCAGAGAGACACCCGAGCTATAGAGCAGTGTTCTAATTAAAACATTGCCAGATAAGACTTGGCAGGAAAGAGATTAAATATATAGAAAGCCTTGTTAAAAAAAAAATAATTGATGAGGCTTTTTACAACAAAGGGCTGGAGCACCATTCCAGCCACACCATTCCACCACAACTTTTTGTCTTGCTGTCAGGATTTCAGCATTTAGACCAACACTTTGTGGAACAAAGCTAAACAAAAATAATTCTGAAGAACACTTAATTACTAAAGTATGTTATGCATAATTTTTAATGAACTAATGAGATCCAGGGAAGCTCCATACACACCTGGTCCAGGGGCCCTACGGACATTTTCCGGATGTTATTTGACACGTGATCCCAAGCAGATCCCTGGGGGTAGCTCGGTGTGATTCCCTGCCGGTACCAAAGATTCCCTGGAAAACACACAGTGCTGGTTACAGCTCAGGGGGCTGTTTGTCTGAAGTGCTGCAAACAACACAACGAATCAGCTGTAATTCTTCCTGTGTCCTGGGGAAATGCATCATGGTTTTGGCTAACGTGTGACAGTGATGGACAATGAGGTTCCTACTTTGGAATTTGTATTTCTATAGTTATTCTTTATAACCTTTCTGAAAAACAGCAAATACTGTTTTGTAAAATTTCTTGGGGAAAAATGTTCATATAAGGACCACTGGAAAACAAAAGCAAGTGAGATGACGGTCTCTAAATCTGGTGTTAAAGGCTTGTTTCTTTTACAAAAGGTACTTCACATTTTATCTTGCAATGATGGGGTTATTTCCAGGTCTTGCAGCAGGTAAATATTCCTCTTCAGTTTTGTACATTTGGGGTTCCAGGCAAAATCCTGCCATGCAATTTTCATCTGTGTCTTCCCTCCCCCAAAGAGCACAGATGCTGGATTACCCAGGGCACTCTCAGTTATAACAAACACCAAGTACTTCAGTGCACTGCTACTCCAAATCTTTCAGCACAAAATATTCCTCCTCTTGGAGCACCAGTCATCATCTGTCCAGCTCTAACTTAGCCTCTCCTTTTTAAATCAGTCCAGTGTATAGTGATGTATTTTTTTAACTAATAATTTTTTTAAATCCTTACCATTTGTATCCAAGACAAACACAGATGTTCGTCCTACTGAGACTTGCTTTAACTTTTGTTTTTGAGGTGAAGGAATATGGTACCAACAGTCACCTAAAGGTCAGAAATACTTGAGTTAAACACTGAGAAAACAGAATTATGCATGAGAAGCCTTGAAAATGCTGCAGTTGAAATACATTGCTGTGCAAGAAAGCTGGGAATGACATTACACTTCATATATTTTTGCGAGCTTGTTTTTACAAATAAGCACTTTAAATCATGCAAGTGAAGAGCAAATCAACTGCTACAGTTATCATATTATTTGTATGCAGTGTTTTGCACAGCTGTGGGAAAGGCCTCTGTGAAACAGGTTGGTCTTTTGCAGCCATGGCAGTGTNACCTCTGGCCCCTCAGAAGGAACCAGGGCTTTGTGTCCCAGCAGGTCACTCCTGGCTTTGGTCTTCATTCACTGCCATGGGAACTGGTACAAGGACTCACCTGCAGGTTTATTGGGAGACACTGAACCCCGGTAGAAGGCAGAACCATCTCTAGCAATTGCCCACACTTGGTAAAATGCCCCAATTGAGATGGAAATGAAGGGCTGGTCTGTTCCCACGTGCAGCCAGGACATTCCCTGAAAAATAGTGGAAAATGAATTGTCAAGGAAAGGTTAAAAACTCCATGACAGAATATCACTGACTATTGCCAAATGGGAAAATACCCCATACAGTGAAGAATATTATGGGGAATAATTCTTAGTAACTTCACAACTGAACTGAAACAAGGTTGCTGATCCCCAAAGATATTTGGATATACAACTCTTTGAAAATAGCTAAATTGGTCTACAGTAGGGCCTTTTATGTTTAAATTACTGGATTTTAAGCACCTACATGTGTCTGAACAGATGGACTAAAGCCTTCTTTTTTTTTTTTTTAATAATCCCTTGGCTTTGATTACCCAGAACAATAGTCTCACAAAACTCAAATGATATGATTTGAGGGGCTTCAGATTCCACACTATTCCAGTTCTCACTGCTGCACTGCCTTACAGATCAGTGCTATTGTAACTGATTGGACAGGAAGGAAAAATATCATTCTTATAAAACTTTCAATTTCCTGCAGTTTTTCTCCAAATTCCAGTAAAGTATATTGTTAGATTCCCCCCCCCCATTGTAAATAGGGCTTAAAATCAGTGCATATCCACCCTAATTTGGTGTTTCAGCATGTGTCTATTAGTAAGAAATAAATATTCCTTTTGAAGTTATTGGGACTATTTGTTCCTTTCTGCACACTTCACTGGATGTTTGCTTATTATTTCTGTCCCAGTCCATTAAAAAAAAAGTCAAATCTGCAGGTTTGTCCAGACCCATCTCTCTTAGAGTCAGTTCCAGGCCCAGAAAAATCAAAGGATAAACTCTGACTGATATCACCAGACTGGGACCATACTTTAGAGAAATTCTGATCCTCACCAATCATTTAAATGGGATGTACATTATCAACAATTTAAAAAAGCAATGACAAAAAAAGAGGAACTAAGCTATCAGTGCAGGAAGTGGAAGTAAAACACTTCATGAGAGGATGGGCAGGGGCTGAGAGAGGCCCCAGCAAGTGCTGTGGCACAAGCTAAGGTAGATTATGCAGGAACAGCACTATAAGAGAAGTGGGCAGCAAACTGCTATAGCTGATGGACAGGGACTTTCAAATCTGGGACATAAAAGGGTAAAAAATACCAAGGTGCTCTGAGAGAGGGCACTGTGTGACTGTGTGTATGGACTTGCATAAGGACATGAAATACATCAATAGGGCAGGGAAAACAAACAGGGAGCCTTACAGCTGGATTTTGCTGTGTCACTCCAAGCCTGCAGAGCACGTCTCCTTTGTCACTGATTGCCCACAGTGCTACTGCTTCTTCATCATCTGCATCTGAACTGGGAATTACGGAGATGTCCCACAGGGTAACAGGAGGCACTTCCAGCCATGGCCCGTTGGTGACTATCTTACATTTTCTGAAGCAGAGAAAACCCAAACCTGTCAGTAGTATGTACTTTCTATAACTGACTTTGTCTCCCAGACCATTGTTGACTTCCAGTCCTGAAGTCTTTTCATTAAGCAGTACTTTTCATTAAGTATCAGTAATTTTAATTTGAAAGAGGTTTTTAACAACCAATCATGCTTTGCATCAGGTTTTGCATTTTGAACTATTACTGATTTTGCAAGATTTCTGTGTTTTGTTTTGTTTTTGTTTTTTTTTAATTACTTTATAAAACCAAGACCACCTAAAAAGTCTGCAGTTTGTGCTCCTCTCCTCCCCAGTTCTCTCAGACTCACTGGGCAACAGCAAGATAATGAATCCAATTGCAGAGAGAAATCCACACCCAGTTCTAGTCTTCCTCTCTCTTGGTTAAGGGAATAACTTTACAATTCCTTCTTTGGTGGGGCCTGTTAAAAAGTTATGTAGCATCTTGAGGTAAGCAGAGGTAAGGCAGCTCTAAATTAAAGACTTGGTTGGTCATGTTGAGAATTTGTGTATTTTTTCTGTGGAAACTGCAACAAACTAGTGCTGTCTATTAGGGAAATCTTGTTAGACTCTATTATCACAGATTCTTCCCCTCCTAACTAAAGGAGACCTGTAGTGAGCAGTTAACATTCAAGCTCATACCTTTTATTTAAATCTTAGTTCCTCACCTTGCCCAGCGCCTCCGTCGGACAAAGTCTTTCATTGTCTTGTGACCATGGTAGGACCTACCAAAACAGATTTAAATAGATGTTTGTGAGGATGTCAGAGCATCTCCAATGTCAGTGCCAGCCTGAGAGCATCTATATCTGCCCACCAGACACACCTCCATCCTTTAAAACCCTTAAAACAATAGTTTGCTAAGTTCACCTTGCTGCCCAACCTCCCTGGCACATATCAGTGTCCCCAGAAAAAGGCAGAAATCAAGGCAGTGTTGTGTCCCTGTCAAAGCACAGTTAATGTACAAGCCAGCAAACAACATGAAATGAGGACTTAAGTGTGGATTGGGTAGAAGGAGGTGTTTCCTTACGCTGGGAAGTCTGCTGCATACTGCCAGCCCTCCCGGTCCGTCCCGCCCGACACGTTGAAGTCAATGTACCAATCTGATACCTGTTGTCAGAAGGAGACAATAACAAGCACAATCAACACCTGATGGATAATAAAAATAATCTCTTCTGCTGTTTCCCTACACCTTTTGAGTGCAATGACTTGCTAGAAATTTTCCAATACTAGAAATTGAAATTTATACACAGGTTCCCACGTCCCTTTAATTCAGCTGGAATGGATCAGTCTAAGTCCTGCTAAACAAAAAACCCCACTTGATGCTTAACATTCTTTTGCCTATGGATTATTGCCAGTGAAATGGGAAAAACAAGGTTAAATGTTGCAACAAATCCAGGAAGAAAATCTGGGTCACTTGAACTCAAGTCTTGTATCCCACTTGCTAAAGCCTTGCCTTCCTCATAAAAAAAAACTTCCAAGACAAAATTTACCCAAGACCACTGTGGAGAAGGAGGCTTGGTGTTGATCTTTGTACACTCCTGCAGGCCAGATGCATCACTCCACATGTATCTGTCTGTGGGCAGCCCTCTGTGGTGGAACAGCAGACAAGGAATGCAGGGTCATTTACAACAGAGAATTCAAAAAGCGAGGGAATAAAAGCCTTTTTGTAGCACTTCCTACTTTCATACACAAAAGACTCAGCTGACATTAATCTCTGTTTTTAGAAATATCATGTGATTGATGAGGATAGTGGGAAAGAATCTGTACAATTGCTTCCAGTTACACCAAACTTGAGGACTGTGTGAACTCTGTAGAGTGATATTCCTCACCACTATTTAAAATTGGAAGGTGAATCCTGAGTTTCTCTGGTATAGACCCTCATATATGTGAATATATATTTTCAATACTTTTGTTCAAATATACTATTCAAGGACCCAGTGTATTTAGCAGAGTATGTATGAATATAAATGCTAATAACTTTACTGCGTGGCCTTAATAATGAAAGATATTGCAAGTAGGCACACTTTGTGCAATCACAAAGCACAAATCTGCAGTGTTTTGCCACAAATGCTTTTTGAATGGATAATTACAAATTAGAAAATTGAGAAACACTGCTTCTTCTCTCTCAGGTTAATTATAAGTGCTGAAGGAGGCTGAAAATAGAATAACTGTAATAACTATGCCAAAAAGCTGGAACAAACCCTTTGTTTCATTTGACAGTAATAATATTACAGTAAATAAATACAGTAAATTGACTAAATAACCTGCTGCTGTATCCAGTGACTGGGTTCCACCGTTGGTTCTCATAGATGTAAACACATTTCACATCTGACTGTGTATAAATGTTATCAGCACTACTGGCCAGTCCTGTGAGAAATAAATAATTTGGATTAGAGTAAAGCTAAAACCACTACATTTTAAACTGCAAGATGCTAAATTTTAAATTCAATATCTCACTCTTAAGCTGAAAATATGAAACTGCAATACCAATTCATTTCTAAGGTGTGGCCTGTTCCTGTACAACCCGACACGTCAGGCTACAGGGAGGGCAGCACAAACAGCTTGACCAGCTGACCCAGTCAGGAAGGTCAGTCAGGAATGTGCACCCAGAGCCCCCCTGTGCATACCTTGGATGAAGCCCCCTCCGTAGCCCCCCGTGTGCACCCAGGCCGTGTGGTCGTGGCCGATGCCCCACACGACGCCGCGGTTGTTGCACTCGATCAGCCGCAGGTGACCCCCGACCTGGCGCCAAAACCTGCCAGAGAAAGGCCAATGTTTTACCCTACACCACATCCATCAGGAATGTCTGCTTTCCCCGCCTGCAACTCAACAATCTTCAGGACAGGCAACCTAATATGCTCACTTGTTCAACCCCTGAGCAACCTGTAAGTGAAGGCAGTTGCCAGCTGAAAGCATTTCACTCTGAACAACTACTAAAAAGCAGATGGTGTTGTTTGTCTTGAGGAGTTTGCAAGTACCATATTGTCACAGTTGTAATAGAAACTGTAAAGAAGCTGCTCCTGGACTGCAGGGTCTACAGAGGACTGAAAAGTTCAGATTTTCTGACTCAGTTAAAACTGAATGCTCCAATTACAGTGATTAGGTTTACTTTTAGTCTAGGCTGTCTCTTAAGTAATTATGACATTAAAGATGCAATCACAAAAAATGAGATCTCAATGAGAAAAGCTTTTGAAATCACAAGAATTTGAGAAAGGCTTTTGAAATCACAAGAACAGTTCCAGCATCTAAGAATTAAAATATGATTTCTTCACGTGCAGTGGTGAATATGAAGGCTGCCATTAACCCTGCCATTGACAGACATCTGCAGTGCACTGTACAATCCAACAGCCCATCAAAGCCATTGAATTGACAGGAAGGACATTCTTTGCTGGATGGCATCCCCTGCAGAAAGAACAGCTTCTGAAAGCTCTTACATTTGATCACAGGGCATCAGCTGTGGTCCGGCCTCCAGCTCAGGACTTGGCTCACTAACAAAGATGTCTCCTTTACAGGTAACAGACCAAATGGCATGGTGAGAAGGAGGGCCCTGAATCCGTCTGCTTTCACAGCAGGACATGGTCAGCAAAGACAGCTACAAAACAAGAAGCAAAGAACCAACAGCTTCCATTTACAGTGAGAACAAAAATATAGATGTTCAGTACTGTAAAACAAAGCTTTACCTTTGCATGTTCTTCCAAATCAGCAAAGTGAATCTGCAGCCTTTTCTCTAAGGCACTAGAATTCAGGGGTTTAGAACTTATCACACAATCACTGGAGGCACTGTGGTTTGCAGGGACTGATCACTATGAAGCATGTTTTAGGTTTCCCTTGCTCCAGTGTGTATCTGACTGCCTGCACGTAAGGCTTTCTACAACAGTGACAACAGAGAATGGTTCTTCTGCCAACGTAGAAGAACAGATTGAATTCAACTCCTAAACTCATTTGTACCCTAATCTATATCCAGAAATTGGAAGGAAATGAAGAACAATATTGGTTTTGCTGTGGATAACTGCAGCACCAACACATGTGCAAACTCCAGAGGAGACAAGAAGCCTCAGGTGCCTGTAAATAAGTTTGATCAGATGTTTCAAATACCTAAACTCTGAAAATAGATGAGTAGCCCGGATAGTGCAAATGTAATGCTGAGATTTCAGAGAGTAGCTTTTATGTTTTATTGCAGATATTGCCAGCTTGAAATGGAAGATTCCCAGAATTACCCAGTCATGCATTTCTTGCTCTGTTGTGGCTGCCAGGCGGATTGGCCATCGCTGCTTTGTCCTCTCAGGTGTGTACAGTGCAAAGGAGTGTTTGGCTTCATTCAGCACTTCAACTATAATAGTCACTTCATTCAGGAACACGTGGATGTACTAAGACAAGAGAAAAAAAATTGTGACTAAGGCGAAGTCAGATAAACCTTCCTCAGAGCCAGCATTTTTGCACTTTGGGACTCCAAACAAGGCACTCCTGCCAAGGATAGCAAAGAATCAATTCTTGGCGCAGAAGGAATGGGGCTCAGTTTCCAGCCCTGCACTTCCTCTGATTCCTATTGCCTGTAGGCATTAACCCTATTTGTGAAGACTCTGGCCAGCCAAACCTGGCTCTTTCTTCACAATCGAGAACATTTTGAACTTCCAACAGAACTCCTAATTAGTGCAGAACTGATGGTTTAAGCAGTGTGGGTGGTTGCTGACTGGGTATTTCTGATGTAGCATTGACAGAGCTGCAACTCAGAAAAGTCTGTGGTTTGCTGGTACCCGGGGCTACCTTTGAATTGGCTCCCAAAACTCAGAACATCAGAGTGCCTTAATTTGCCTCCTTTATGAAAGCTGATTTCCCTGCAGAGGTTTCCCTTTGCCAAATGCTCTCTCTCCAGGGTGTCAGGCTGGACACACCTTTTTCTCCTCGTGGTACATGTAGTAGATGAACAGGATGCTGTCGCGCATTCCATCGCTCCCCGTGAACTGCTCAAGGGCCACTCGAACATCCATCCATTTATGAGGCTTCCAATTCCTCCACCATTGCAAGGCTCCAGTTTTAACCCAAACTGACTACAAGGCAAACACATATTTACAGGATTAAGGAAACTGTGTAAACTCTTTTTCTGTCTCTCAAACACTGTTTTTTGTTGCCACAAGTTCTCTCTGCTGAAGGTTAGTCTGCATCATATCAGTTAATTCTGACACAGAGTATTCCAAAGCTGAAGGCAAAATGAAAACTCACAAAAATGGACTGAAGGGCACTGTAATAGCACGTGTGCAACAGTATTTTACTTTTAACCTCTGCAAGCACACAGGTACTAATTGACTCTACTGTGCTCCTATTATAACACAATCTCTGTTTGGAGTTTAAAGGCTTTTGACATAATCTTTTTAAACTTGATTAAACCCCTGGGTTCCAAGTGTTTTTAATCAAATGAATTCCAGATGTCATTTGGCAATTAGCAACCAAGGGACCAAAAACATGAATGAATCTGAAAAAAGCCAAGGAGCCATAACAAAGGGAACATCAAACAGAAGTGCTGCTATTTAACAGCTGCCATTGACGTTTGCATCATTGTTTTATTTATGCAAGTTAAATTAATCTTTGAATGGCCACAGAGAGGAAAATTCACCTACTTGAGTCACTGTTTCAATTAAGAAGCCTCATCTTGTGGTAAAATAATCCATACAGTGTGTGCTGTTGCTAACATTTCTCTGAGAATTTGAGGTTTCAGAGTACTCAGATAATGCAGACCAATTTGTTTGTTCCTATACAAAACTATCTGATAATGTTTTTGGAGGAAGATTGCTGTTCCTTGTTTGACAAGCTGTTAATTTCCCACAGGGAGCTCAGACAGTAATAATCCAGGAAAGCTGTCATAGACAGGAATAAAGGCAAGAATATGAAGCTGACAGTAAGTTCAAATCATGTGTCAGAAGACAAGAGATGTGTCCCCACTGCTCACCTGCTCAATAGCCTGCTCGTAGTGCCTGAAATTCTCCAGTTCCCGCTTTGTCCTTTCACTGAGCTGCTGGAAAATCTGCTTCCTCCAGGCTGCTGTCTGAGCTGGAGTGATGGACAGGGACAGGGACTGCACAGAGGATGACAGACCTAGAGCAGAAGCAAACTCAGTAAACTCCAGGGAGCTTTGAACACAGTTCTGTGAAAGGTAAAATCTTTCCAAGCCATAACCTGTCAAAATGGGAATTTTGTTGCTGAACTGCAAGATAATGAGGTGATACAATGCATTTAGAGTTACATTGTTACATACTGGGATGCCATAGTTCACAGTTTATTTTGAAAATGTGGTTATATTTCACTGTCTGTCAAGAATCTAAATTCTAATGCCACCCAATTATCAGCTGGGCTGACATTCACAATGCCTCTGTATAACTTCTGTCTCATAGTCCTGTCTCAGTAGGAATGGCAGGAATGACTTATTGGCATCTGCATCTCTCAAGAGAGCCCTTTTCACTGCTTCCTGTTACTATTCAGGGATATGAGTTTTTCCACAAGTTGCAATTTCAGTACAATTAAAAATGAGATGTAGATCAGCACAGATTATTTCACAAAATTCTTAGGAAACTCAGAATAAATATAATTTTAATTTATATATCTCAAGCCCAAAGTGCTTTACAGCTAAATACTGCAGCACTGTGCTCAGACATGGAGCCTATTACCAAACTGCAATAAGAGTAAGTGGGTTATCAGAAGTCTTTCACCATGGCTTCATTTCAAAACACCAAAACAGTATTTGTCTTAAAGAGCTTATTGAGCTGTGATTGGGAACTAGGCTCTGCTGTGGTGACTGGGTAGTACCTGATGGAGCAGTGAACCACTTCAGTGGGCTGTGCAGATCCACCAGGCAGCCTCCCCCAGACACCCAGGCCCACAGTGGGTGCTCATCAGCCCCGTACTGCTCCTCAGCTCCCGCCGGGAACACGCCCAGGGAGGACAGGCTGGATGTGTCCCCAAAGCTGCTGACGGAGATCACTGGGTGCTTCTGGGCCTCCTTCAAGTCAATGTTTGTCCACTGCAGCTCTGCAGAAGGATTTGGGCTCGCAGCAGATTTATTCATTTCAAGATCAGCTTTCTCATGGCTTGTTGAAGCAGCAGTGGCTTCTCCTTGCTCAGAGTCCAGAGGATCCACAGGGAGGTTTGCAGGTATTTCTGCCTGGCTGCCTGTGCCGTTCCCACTGCTGCTGGATGCAGCTCCCATGGGGACAGCGCTGGTGGGGTTCATGGGCACGCTGGGAAGCTCTGTGTCAGAGGAAGTGTCTGCATCACCCTGAATGATGGCATTTGTTTGGGTCTGAATATCATCAGTAAAGAAACAGCCAGCACTGAAGGACAAATAGACAATTAATTAACTATCATCCAAAGCATTAATTACCACAGGCCTTAGACCATAGACACACAGAGAAACAGCAGACTTCTTTTTTTCTATCAGGGGAAAGAGTCCACCACAAATCTGGCAGAGCAGTCTAGTAAATCTGAACCACAGGAAGGAATCTCATTGATCTTTTCAAACAGTCGGTGGTGTTGGCTGCCCACAACTCTGAGGAAAACATTGAAGCAACATCACGTTTTCCAAATATGAAATAACAAATAGGATTTTTCAAAGCTCACTATTAACTTTATGATTTGTCTTAGCTAGAGAGGTCTTAGCACACACTCTGACTCAAACAAGTAGCTTCTGCAGCACTCCCAGATCCATTGGCATGTCTGGCACAGCCCATAGGCCAGCATGGAGTAGCTGATTTAATCTCTCAAGGAAAAGGAATGTACAGTGACACTCAGGAAGGGTAATTCCTGAGTAAAGTTGACACTCCTTCATGATATTTCACAGACAACATTTCCTCTTATTAGAGACTGGTTCCAGATAGTGGTAGTAAAGCCCAGAGGAACATGCTTTACTGCAAACATGCACTGAATTCCAGTGTGGGAGCTTCAGTTTCTACTCTGAATCCAACAACTGCTGCTTATTGGTAATTTTAGTGGGAAAAAATGCAAATGCCTTTTGGCATACATAATGATTGGAGATGCCTTCCCCACTCCTCCCTGTCCGTATGTATGTAAAGAAGTGTAAAGAAATATCTCTTGATGTAAAGAATGTAAAGAAATATCTCCTAGCATTGAAACTCTGGGTGTACAAAGTCTTGGGCAGGCATTTCACGTGGTACCTGAGCAGACTTGTTGAGCTCCCGGTCTGAGATCTGTCGCTCTCTCGGCCAGACACAATTGCCTTCCATGTCTTCCCACTGAGCTCACTTGGTGTGACACCTTGACGAAAATAAATGGCTCTGTCATCACAGCCAATTCCCCAGACCTAGGGAAGGAAAGGGCTTGGTGAGGGAAATGGCTTGGAATGCAGTTACCAGTTACAAAAAAGGTGCAGTGGTGCAGAATTCAGCCCAAAAAAGCTAGTGGACGCAGCATTTTCCTTCTGTGTTCTTCCTTAATGCTGATACTGTAGATGCAGTACAAAATTCTGTACCATCAAGAGAGAACCGTGTGCACCTCCCTGTGCCATTCAAGACACACGCTGACTGTTATCTCCTGGTGCAGAATTCAGCCACACTTTCCTCTCTAGCAGTTCAAGCCCCTGGACCTCTTGTTCAGCCAGCCCTACTGGCACTGCTGACAGTCCTTGCCACTTGTGAACAGTGCTTGTACAAAGGGGAAAGTAAATATCCCCACAGCTGGTATGCAGCTCTCTTACCTGGTTATTTAAGCCTACAGTTACCATCATCATTTCTCCAACCATTTCAATCCAGCTTGTCCCACAAGGATTATGTGAGTTCACTCCTCTTCTAAACCACACCTACAACAAAAACAGCAGTAAAGCCTAAATTTTGTTCCTTCTGCATTAGCAGGCAGACAGCTGGAATTTAGTTTCTTTAGTGGATTAATCTCTAATACTGACTTGCTGCATTGTCTTTAAAATTCAATTACTTCCTTGATTCTTTTTCTTTATCAGATAAAGCAATTCTCTTAATAGTACCCACACTGTGTGTCCAACTACAGCCAGAAGAGCCCACTGGAAGATTTTTTGGTATGACTTTCTGTGACAGAGTTGGTTTCTCTGCTTTCTATTACATATCAACTGTAGGCTATTTTTGATCATTCTGAATGGCCTTCAGTGCTCTTGTGTTAAACTCTAGAAGCAGAGCTGACAGAGGGAACTGTCAGAGGGATCTTCTTAGTGGTACAGCTCTTTAAATTATCTTCCCTTAGATCAGGTTTTACCAATCTGAGAGTATCTGTGGGTTGGGTACCTGAAAAAATTTCCCTCTATATGACAGAGTCATATAGTGACAATCAACTCCTTTAGAAGTTGTTGGTTGAATACAATAACATCAGTATACTTGATTGTCCTTTGGCAGATCTGGAGGAAAACACACCAGCTTATCTCCATTTATTACAGTGGATTTCTGTGGCAGATGGAGCAGGCTGGGCACAGTCTGTTGCCATGGCTCAGCTGACAAGTAGTGACTCATTAAACCAGAGAAACTCAACACAACTGTGACACATGCACAGAGTTCATGCATGGTTTTGAATTCAGGAAGAAAGGATTTGATTGCAACCAGCACAAGAGCACTCTAATACTAGAGTGTTCCAGTATTCTTCACAACTTTCAGGATTCCCTGCAAGGGGCAGGGAGTTGGATTTGATGATACCTACAGGTCCTTTCCAAGCTGAGACTTTCTAAGATTCTAAGTTAAAAGCCCAAGAGGAAAGTAGTCACACATCCACATAAAAGATCTCTCACCTAACAAATACAAAACCCCCCTATGTTAAAAGGCTGATCAAGAGAGAACAGTTGCAGTAGGAAGATAAAAAAAATAGCATCATGCAGGAAAGAGTAAATAACAATATTCCCCATGCTGCTTTTGATGTAATCTTCAACCCATGTGGAAACAAGATTTAGCAGCAGGAGTCCCTTCCATTTCAGTGCTTAAAATCCCCTAAAAGTAGACTCCTTATTACATCCCCACCAACATCCCTGCCCACCTGCCACATCTGTCTGACCTGGGTCTAGAAAATTCCTTCTAGGAGAAAACAGAAATTCTTCCTTAAATTACACTCAACTACATCCATCATAAACCACAGAGCATTCCCATAACATAGCAAGGGGAACTAGAATTCCCCAAACCATGAGGATAGAGAGTTCAAATCCCCAACACTTCCTGTGCAAGGACTCCTGTTTGAGAAAAGCAGACAGGAAAAGGGGGAAAAAAAGCAGAAGCAGATCATGATCCCTCTTACTTTTCTATCCTTTGTAACACACCACACCACATCAACACCCACAGAGACGTGCATAATCCCATTTTCAGAGCTTGGGGACTCCACAATACTCCAGGACATTCCTGCGTGAAACAAAACCCAGAAGGCATTGTAGGTTAGTTTCTTATTCACCACTATAAAAATCAAAGGGCTTTCCAGCTAAATTTAACAAACTTTACCTTGAGGGTTATTCCTATCAATTCCTTCTCTCACAATAGCTTGCCCTTCCCAAAGAGTTGCCCAAAGGAGGTCATAGGGTCCACAGCTGATCTGTACAACTTCACCAGGAGTGGTGATTAAGGACCACGTGGAACCTTCTGGATTGTGGTGGCAGACATTTTCTCTGTACCATACCTAGACAAGTTTTAAAAAAAACAGAGATGAATAAACCCAGGAAAAATATCACTTTAACAATGAAACCATTGAGAGAAGCATAAAGACAAACTGGAAAGAACAGTCCTCCTTTAACAACGGGATGTTTTTACGTAGTGTATGGCACTCTGACCTTTAAAGGTACTTTCTTATGTTGATTATGCAGTTGAAGCTATTTCCTTATGTACTAAGGGAGGTGGCTGTTCTACAGAGCTGCTTTTATCATAGAATCGAATCTGGATTGGTTACAGAAACCTATTGCTACAAGTCCTGTGTATATTTTATCATTTAAACCACTTCAGTGTATTGCAGGGCATGTTATATAAACCAAGAATGAACAAACACAAAAATGTTTCTGTTGGCTGACAGCATGACCTCACTTTCACTGAACAGAACTTGCCACAATATGGGGAAAAACTTTCATTCTCTGTGCAGCCTTCAGTGACATCCAGCCTTTTGCTAGTCTTGGACTGTGCACTTCTCTATGGATCACAGTCAAAATAGAGGGTCAAGCATAGAAAGCATCCTGTGGTAGTCACATGAGCACTCCACTACATGACTGCTGAGTATTAAATCCTCATTTTTAGAAATACTTTATTTCTCTGGTGACTGTTACTTGGGAAATGAAAGAATTTTACAATGGCAGTCAAGTGAGCTGTAGACTGGGATGCTTGTCACGTACTGCTGGAAAGTATGAGGCACAGGGAATTTTATTTTAAACAATTTAACCAAGATTGCTTGCCTCTCCAGGCAGTGCCAAGTGTGACTGAAAGCTCAGGCTATCTGTTATAAATATTACAAACTGCCCTGTGAAACCACAAGTTAGAAAATGTCTAGAGACAAAGCAATGTTGGATACATGCTCTAAGGATGAAGGAAGGAAAGCAAGAGTCAAATCTTTACAGCACTGAGCAAAAGAGGAGAGACATCTTATGGTAGGCCTAAAAACAACAACAACAACAACAAATATGTATAGTTTTCAATAGAAAACAAACTGAAAACATTTCAGAGTTGGGTACCACATTGCCAAGCCAGGAGGCAACCACTTTCTGATTAATAAGTCTCAGAAAACAATGTTGTAAACTCCTGAATCATTTCTGTCTCTCCACCACAGAGGCACAGCACAGTGCTTTGCAAGAATCTCTATCAGGTTTTGAGGCTCCTTTTCTTGGTTACCAGTGTCACAGTCAGCAAAATTGCAACTCTGGGCAATTTTTCAGGATATAAGACAGTACTCACTCCAAGTTTTAAGATTCACCTGTTCATAGAGGTTTAAGGCTTCCATAAAACAGCAACTCTATGAGATACTTAAGCCTTTCCATTTACAACACAAGTTGTTACATAATGTAGCCCCAAAGCAGCTTTTCATCCTCTGCCAGATGCACGAACGGCGTATTTCATTACCAACATAAGACAATAACAAACCTGCCTTCCTTTAAAAGTATTTAACTCCTTTCCATTAGTAATTAGTGTCAGAAAACACAGGGAACACACACATACCCTTCCTTGTAAAGAAACTGCCCACACTGACAAGCGGCCGAGAGGCTCGTCGGTGATTTCCCACCCTCCGATGGAGATGTCATTGAAAGGGTCTGGCAGCTGCTCTGGATCATCATGTGACACGATCTGAAGCAAAGGGAAAGAAGATTGAGAAGAGGAGACACTGCACTGGTGGCCTAACTTGTGTCTTGCAGATTGGTTTATGTATTACTTCCTAAAGTGGCTGAGCATGGAGATTCTCCCTCTCGTTCAAGGCTGTTATAAGCAGAGAGAGGGGAAACGCTGCTGGAGCAGCACGAAGAAGGCTGTGTTTTGTACCCTACCTAAAGGAAATTTTTGCAGTGCATACAGAATTGGAAAGCTGAAACATCACAAATTACAATTTTTGGATGTTCTTAGAACGGAACAAAAATTATTAATGAACAGTTATTCATACAGACAAAGGACAGAGCTGGTGAAAGATGCCAGGCAGATGGCACCTCAGATGAGAGTGATTTGTCAAACAACCAAAGGAAGTTAAAAAGCTGGTCTGAAATTTGCAGTGGAGCTGAGCATCCATCTCCATTTGCATCACCATGAGATTTGGCACCTTATTACCACAGGTAATAATCCCAGCCTTCCATTTATGCTTACAAGAACAGCAAGCTGGAAGTCAAGGAATCCAGGTCCAGCCTACAGACAAGTAATAAAAAATTAATTTCCCTGCACTTATAATTGATTATTTCAGAAAAACGGTTTATTTAGTATTTAAAAGGCATCCAGAACCTTTGCCCAAACGTCCCGTGATTTGTATCTCCTGTATCTGATCCACCGCCTGCGCCGGACACAGGAATTCCATTTCTTATCCTTTGTGTAGGTGCTGGGGAAGTCTATGGCGTAAGTCCAGCCCTGCAAACAGAGGTTTTCTTGTATGAAATATGGGATCAAGGGAAAGCTTGAAATCATAACTCAGAGCAATTCTGCACGAGGGTCACAGTACAAGTGACTGTGTGTGTCTCAAGAGCCCTGATTAACAGATCAGCTAATTCCATGGATGATTTATGAATCATCCCAAATTCCTCTGCATGATACACACAGAACAAACAAGACACAGTAAAACATTTTGCTTGTTTTGTAGTAAAGATCTTAAATAACAATGGCATTCAGTTGCCAGCATTTCGTGGCCTGATCAAAAGAGAAAAGCTTCTAGGGAAGTTCCTATGGACTTCAAAAGCCTTCAAACAAGACCCTTCCTTGTGTTGTATTAGAGTTGAGCTATTTCCCAGGAAGATGTATCTCTGGGAAGTTTTACTTTTACAGACCTTTTACACTTCTATAAAAGTGCCTTTTATTTTACAGACTAAGGATTCCCAGAATAGATCTCTTTTTGGTATTGTTCACCTACCCCTTTCTCTGTTGGTTCCCCTCCAATATTTTCATCCACATACCAGTCAGACTCCCACTCCCAGTGTGGAGAAGGCAGTGTGAAACTATCGAGCTGCTGATGTTTTAGCCCGCTCACATCACTCCACTGCCAGCGGTCACTGGGCAGTAATTTCTCACAAAAGCCACCAACCGGATTCCAGCGCTGCCAGAAATAATAAATAAAGGATTTTATTGGAGATCACATCATCTCATACTGGACATCTACAGGGAGCCATAAAAGACACATTTCTCATTTTCTGCAGTAGAAGAAGAATAAATTCCTGGGGTCAATGAGAAAGTGTTCCCCCTGTGAGCCCCTCCCAGACAGCGTTTTTAGGAAGAGACTTTGAGACTTTGTTTAAGTCTCAAAGCAGGGCTGACTACAGAGCTGGTCCCAACCAAGTCCTCTTTGGCTACACAAATAGGAGCATCTCATGATATATATAACTCCTAACAGTGCTTTTTTCTTTGGTGATGTATGGCACCATGACACTCCTGCATTAGATGGCCTTAGGATTTCTAATCTACACTCCGGACAAAGATGATTAATATCTTGTCTGCACTAGAAAAATAGCACTGCCTCTGTGCCAGAAACTGTGTCAAGAAAACTATATGAGCAAATCTCCCCTGTATCTTATGTTAAACTAGAGGGTTCTTTCCCCCTAATCTGGCTTGAATCAATAGCAGTACAAACAACACAAGGATTTTCACCAATACAGCTGTCATTTTTATTTTTCTCCCCACACTCCTACATACTATAGAAATACTGGCAAAATCTGTCATGTAATATTGTCTTACATTTTAGAGCACATGGAAAATGAGTGGCTCAAAATCCTTCTATAATTTTTACACAAAATATTATTTAATTTTACTAGGAATATGGCTAAGTTGCTTTGCACGTTATCTGTAAACTACTTTGTCCTTGTTAGCTCTTGTAGAATGTTTCCTTTTGTGCTTTTTAGTATTTTGTTTTCCATTTTTCATAGCCTAGAACAAACAAAACAAAAGTTTTAAAATAACAAATAAAATTTTAAGTTTTGCTTTTTTAAAGAATGTGTTTACACAACAAAAGTAACCGTCTTAAATGGCTGAAAAGTTGTATCAATATTAAATAATGTATAAAATTAATTTGCTGTATTTTTACCCATGCAGATAAGTTAGTGTCTTTTCTCAATTTCTATTTATCCCATTGTCCATTAGAAATCAGAGAAATGTGCTCAAGGGAGAAAATGTGCTCAAGAAATATGCTTGGTTTCTCTCTCAACCTTTAGTTAACTTAAAAGAAATTGATAAATTTCCTTTAAATACTGTTTTAAAGACATTACTTTGAAGTACACCATACAGGGAGGTTCATCTTAACACTTCTATGCAAAAAAGCTGGAAATGTACTTCAGTGGAAAGTCATGCCTTTATTAGAGAAGTGTTTGAAACACTAAAACCCATCATTTTCTTAAGACTGATATAAGATATTGTATCTTTGATAAATAAAAAGACAATGTATCTTTGTTACCTGGAAGTTCCAGTTACACTGGGCATTTTCTTCAAGGAATTGTGTATTTGTCACTAAGGAAAGGAAACCACCCAGTGAAAAGGCTGAATGTTCCAGTCTGAAATGGCTCACACAGAACAAGCCATGGCTCACACTGGCACTGCTTTTGCTAAGAGCAGGGAGGTAAAACCCCTTTGGGAATTTAAATATTAAAAGAATAGCCTGCTATTTGGCACATATATACTCCTTGGAAACTTCAGGTAAAAAGTGAAAACAAATAAAACTGATCAATCTTCCTGTGACAAAAGCGTACCAAGACAGCTGAGACAGGGGTTTGCCCTTTCTGCCAAGTGTGTGGTGGTACCATAACTTGTCATACCTGGTTCTCATAGGTTTCCTCCTGGTACCTAATAGGAACATCCCCTGAGAACACGTAGGTGTACACCTGGTGATCACAGGCTATTCCCCAGCAGCACTGTTTGACAGCAGACACTCGTTTGAATTCCAGCTGTGTGTCCTTACAGAGCTCCCAGTACTGGCCAACAGTAGACAGGGTGTAAACCCTCCCAAAAATGTCAACAGCCCACAAAAGGGAACTGGGCATGGCCATATCTGAAAGGCAAAAAGAAGGTATTAGTGGAAATGATATGTTTAAAAATGGATCTTGAACCTACTGCAGATCAGTCCTGCTTTGAGCCATCATCAGTCAAATTAAATAAAGATGCTGGGGATGATTTTTCAGAAGAGCCTGTGCAAAGCTGGCAGCCAGATCTCTTTGGCAGAGCTGTGCAGTCACACCTCTTAGATGGCTCTGCAAAGCCACATGAAAGACCTTGCTACCAGCCCACTACTGTCCATCCTACAGGAGATCACAACATGACTGGGACAGCTTTGGCAGGCTGGGGACAGAACTCAGCTCTAAACTGAGGTAAGTAGCACAGACCATTTCACAGCAGGCAGCTCCACTCCCAAGATCTGGTGATGCTGATGGTGCTACACACCCTGTTCACCTCAGCTCCACAAAGCCCTGATATCCCACAGTACCTCCTTCTCAGCCTCCTTCGGTGTAAGCAACACACCCACACAGGTCCAAAGGCAGAGATGTGAAAGGGAGCTTCTCTGTAAACACACATCTAGTTTTAATCCATGGACATCTTGCCTACTGCTGCCAGGAAACCTCTTTCCAAGGCATTTTGTACCAGATCCAACCACTTTGGGATCTGATCTTTAATACTCATAGATGTGATATTTATGAATACTTATGGCTCCACAGCAGACACCTGGCTGAGTTCCATTCCATAATAACCTGCCATTTTCTGGGCACTGCAGCCCTGCCCTTCAGGGAGGGGTCAGCCTTTTATGTGAGGCCAGTCCTTTCAGAAGTCAAGACAGACCAGGGTATTTCTGTCACTTGGCCTTCTGAGTGCCATCAAAACAGACAAATCCTGGTTGTTCTGTGTGTCTGACAGTCAGAACTACTGATGAGTATTTTGAACTTTGCCTTCAGTTCCTTTAACTATACAGTGGGGGACCAGGAGGGGAAAGGTATGAAAAATGACTCAGATCCAACACAATGAAAGTAAAGAGGAATTCTTACTTGGAGTCAGAGTGGAACACTACTGCTTTGTTGTCAAATAGCAATTGTGCTTTCAACACAAGAGCCTAAAGAGGGTTGCCTGCCTGCTTTCTGACTGATAGAAGTGCTGGTACAGAGGGACTGACTTGTTCTGTGGATGTGAATGGCAGAGGTGAAACTGCAGAGAATCTGAACCAGCTGGGTCAGTGTCAAACAACAGCACAGTAAATTCCCTTGGCATCCCAGGGGGAATGTTCCAGAATTCTTTGATTCCTAGGACTGCTCCTGCTAAGTACCTAAAAACCTGGATCCAACAGGTGAATAACAGGTAACAGTGAGAAGAAAATGTATAGTGGGAGAGAACCATTGATGCCAGGGGAAGGTCATGAGCAAAATTCTCCTATTATTTGTAGCATAACTAAGAGAAATCCTCTAGTTTTGACCTTTTTTCCCCTCATTGTTGCTGGGACTGTGAAGGCATGCATCTTTGTCTGCTTTGGACTAGCCATTTACCTTCTTCATATCCTCCTGTAGGATAGTACAGGACATAATATGGAAAAATGGAATGGAACAAAGTGAAGATAAGGTGAAAATGATAGTGTATGCACCACTGGGAAAATAAAGGCCATGAAAATAAACCTTTCAGTATTAGCACTTAAAATTCTGCAAAACAGTGTTTATAACAGAAGAAAATATTATGCATTTAATCTCAGGCAACCAGAATGCCAGCAAGTCTGGAGTAAAAGAAGCACTATGGATTATGCAACAATCATAATTATAGAGCCAGGTAACAAGGAATAGTCTCTTAAAGGTGTGCAAATATATAAATGAAGGTCTGTACCTGGAATGACAGTCCAGGCAGGCCGAAAAGTACCTGGAATAGTTCAGAAAAAGGTTCAGAAAGTTCCAAAGATTATGGAGTTGGGAAACTACAGATGGGACAGAATTAAAATAATGCAGGCGGGTGCAACTGGATTAAAATAATCAAGGCAGCCAAAACAAGTGAGAGTTTCTGCATATTCTTACATGGGAACTTTTGAAACAAAGTGTTTGGAGAATTATGGGAAAATCCCAAATGCATTTGGGATTGTAAACTTCTAAGACTTCACTCTAGGCCCCTTTGCACTGGCTGTGCTGCAGAAGATGAAGACAGATGCTGCTCGATTTTGAAAGATGCTCAGTGCTTGTGGCTTATCTGCATTTCAATGAAGGCAGAAGTTGTCAAGTACTCTCAGGGGACTGGGAAAAAAAAATCAGAACTGCTAAATTATTCCTCATCCTACAACTCAGCCAGGTATTTCTGAGAGAACCGAAACTACTTAAGCGAACATGATACATTGTTAATTAAAATTTCCGGTTGCCTGGCGTAACACTGATTGCTACAGAATTCAAGGAAAACATCCCAACTCCTTCCATATTACAAAAGCAATGAGAGGAGAAAGCAGGCGAGAGGGGCCGTGCCCCCGAGCTCAGGCCGTGGCAGGATGTGAACCACCAGCACAGGCTCCACCCTGTTCCAGGGCACAGCGGGCTCAGATTTCTCCCCGGTACCGCTCGAACCCCGCGGGCTCTGCCCCGGTACCCCCGCACAGCCGCGGCCGCCGCTCCGCACCCGCGGGGCTCCCACCGCGCCCCTCAAACCCGACAAGGCGCAGACACCGCCCGGCAGCCCCGCACGGGCCCTCCCGGCCGGGCATTAAGGCCAGATCGGCTTAGGAGCCGTGCGGGGCTGCGGCGCCGCCTCCGCGGGGCAGGGGCGGGCGGGACCGGCCCCGGAGCGGCCCCGGGCCGGGCACAGCCCAGGCACAGCCCCCGCTCGCTGCGGCAGGTAGGCGGGCGCGGGGCTCTGGTGGCGACCCGAGAACGCCCCGCACGCCTCCCCCGGGGGGCTACGCGGAGACACCGACACCTCCCCAGGGCTCCGCCAGCGCTGGAGCCGCCGGGAAGGGCGGCGGGAGCTGCGCAGGGCGCGGCGGCGACGGCCCGACCTCCGCCCTGCCCTGCCCTGCCCGCCCCACCGCAGCACCGCCCGCCCCCCGGGCTCGCCCCTCACCTGCCTCTCCCGCCGCCGCTCCCGGCGGAAGGAGCCGCCGTGCCCCGGCCCCGTCAGGGCGGCCCCGCGGAGCCGCGGCCGGGCAGCGCCGCGCCCACAGCGGCCCCGAGCGCCGCCGCCATTGGCGCGGGCCCCGCGCGTCACGGCGGGAGCGGCGGGGGCGGCCCCGGGAGGCGGCTCCGGGTCCGCCGGGCCCTGGGGAAGCACCGCGGCGGCTCCGGCTGAGAACTGCGGGGACGGCAACGCGGATGGGCAAGGGAGCGGAGCGTCTCTGACGAGGAAAGGCTGAGGGAGCTGGGCCTGGGCAGCCTCGAGAAGAGGCGACTGAGGGGGGACCTTGTCCGTGTGTATAAATGTGTCCAGGGAAGGGCAGCGAGGCTGCTGAAGGGTCTGGGGCACAAGTCCTGTGAGGGACGGCTGAGGGAGCTGGGCCTGGGCAGCCTGGAGGAGGCTCAGGGGAGACCTTATGAAGTCTCCCTGACAGGAGGTTGTAGCCAGGTGGGAGTCAGTCTCTTCTCCCAGGCAACCATCAGCAAGACAAGAGTAACTGGAAGTTAATTCCAGTGAACCAGGCCTCACTCATTTGCCCTTGTTGGCTGGGGAGATTTCCCTCAGTTTTGCCCATAATTGTTGCTGTCTAAACACAACCTGCAGTTTCTCATGGCAAAGGCAGGGTTTGCCTTGAAAATGCAGTTAGGGGAGGTTTACCCCATGACTGGGACACATCCTTGATCTAGGCAAGGCTAGAGCACTCAAAAATTAACTTAAATCTCTTGTTATTAGGAAAGACTTTACTCTGTTCAAAGCATAGTCAGGATATTTTCAATCCTATTTCACTGCTTTGCAGCCCTTATCCCAGCACATTTGGAGGGGGTTTGTACAGACAGCTTCCTTACTGTCGGCTCTTCCACGCTCTTCCAAACCTCACTTCTTTGAAAGGGGGATTTTTCCTTGTCACTTGACATTTATTTTAGGGAAGTATCTTTCCCCTGATGAGGAAGTACTGCATTGCATTTGTATTTAAGATTTTTCTTTGAACAACCTCATGTAATAGTTAAACCACCACAGTTACAGTAAGCAAGAGAGTCCTCAGATTAGGCACCCTTTCCAGATGGGTCACCTGCAAACTGGAAGGAGGAGGCAGAAAGCAAGAGGGCAGGGACCCCCTCATCATCCTGTGATGCTGGCACTGGTTTGGATTTGGGGTGATGTGACCTGTGTTCCCATCTGTTTCAAGCATTTGTTTCATTTTGAAGCAAATTTTTTAATCACTTCTGGTTTTTACGGTTTTTTTATCCCCTTCCTATGAAATGGGGCTAAGCCTTCCCTACTGGACAGGACACTATCTGGGGAAGGGAGTCACCAGTGTTTGCTGCAGTGATAAGGGCTGTTTGTACCTTGAAGGACAAACCCGTGATTTCCAAACCAAAAGATTTGGTGAGTCAGAGAGCCCAAGGGATGAAGGTGTGGAGGGAAGAAGCCAAAGTTTTAACTGGAGTAAAAGACACTTAAGATCTTTACAGCATCTGGCCTGGGCTGTCCAACCACGGAGATCCTGGGTTTCAGAAGCAGCTGAGTGTGGTGAAAGTGCCATTGAACTCATTCCTCTAGTTTGCTGTACAGGAGAAAGCAACATCCCCCTTGCTTTCCTCTTCCTCCCTGTAGTGTTTTTTCCTAACTTTGGTGTTTCTTTGAACCATGTGACTTTTCTCCTGTTTCTTCCTCAATCTCTTTTCAAAATCTTTCCCTCTTTGTACAACATTCCTACTCTGTGCCACCACCCCCAGGGCTCTCCATTAACACCCAAGTGTAGCTCTTCCTGATGCAGGTGGAAGAGTTTACAGAAGTCACCACAGATCACAGCACTATTCCTGCAAAATTTTGCTTTTTTCCTCAAATTGTGTGTTCCATGTAAGTGTAAACACACAGAGAATCTATCTATATTGTGAGTATATATGCACACACATGGACACACTGACACTCCCTCCAGCTTTGCAGCTTTGCAGCTTTCCCTCAACCCTTCCCAGAGCTCAGCTGAAGTCCCTTGGCTGCAGTTGGACTCAAAGTGGCTCTTGGGGTTATCATAGGTGCAGAATTGATGCCTTTTTTTGGTGACGGTCTCAGGGTCTCCCCAGGTTGTGCCACCCCTCCAGCTGCTGCCAACTGAACTGTTCGTGGGGAGTGAGCAGGTAATGAGCCTCATCCTCACCCTCTTTAGGCCGCGGCTTCCAGCAGAGATTGCATTTCACAGCACCATGGAACGGGTCAGGTTGGAAGGGCCACAGTGAGTCGTCTGGTCCAACCACCCTGCTCCAGCAGGGTCATCCCCGAACACATGGCACAGGATTGCAATTCGGGGAAAGGGCACGTGAAAGAACGCAGGGGCTGAGTGAGTGTGTTAAAAACCCGTCATCTTCATGAAAGAACAGCGGGCTGGCCTCGGGGGCTCGAGCACCAACCTGTCCACAGCCTGCGGGAGCCTCGCAGCGAGGGCAGCTCGTTCACGGCCCTGCTGAGCGGAGCAGAGCGTGCGGGGCTGTCAGTGCGGGGCCGGGGATTGCCGGTGACGCTTAAAATCGGCTCTTAAAAGAAAACCCCTAGGACTCAATTTGTGAGTTTCAGAAGGCAGCATTCCTCTTATTACGACGTCGGACGCTTTCTTCAAAAGCGCGCGTTCCCTTATAGATTTTACGGCCGCGTCGGTGCGGGGCTGGGGGCTGTCGGTGCGGAGCTCGGGCCGTCGGTGCGGGGCGCTGCGGGGCGCGGCCCCTTTAAGGCCGCGGGTTCCCTGCGCCGCCCGCCCGGCGGAGTCACCGCCCGGGGAGCGGCGGCGTCACGTGGGGCCGCGGCGGCCTCGTGACCGGGCGCGAGCGCAGCACCGGGGCCGCCGCTCCCGCCCCGCGCTCCCCGCGCGCTCCCGCCCCCCCTCCGCGCGGGCCCCTCACGCCGCCGCCGCCGCCCCCCCCACCCCCGAGCTCCGGCGCCCCCGGGCGGGGCGGGGCGGGCGGCGCCGCTTCCTCTGCCGGGCACCCCCCCCTCCCGTCCGCGGGGAACGAGGCAGCGCCGCCGGCCCAGCATGGACAGCAAGCCGCTGCTGCAGGAGCGGCCGCCCGCCTACAGCCCCGCCGCGCCGCCGGGCGCGCCGGGATACGACTACGGGCACGGCAACTACGGCGCCATCCCCGCCCCGCAGCCCGGCTTCCAGCCGCCCCCGCCGTACCCCTACCCGGGCGCCGCGCCCGCCGCAGGTGGGTCAGAGGAGGAGGAGGGGGAGGGCGGACTCAGGGGGGTTGAGGGGTCCCCGGGGTGCTCGCCCTTCGCTGGGCCGGGGGCCTGCTCTGCAGAGCCCTCCGTGCCCCCGGGGGTGCCCGGGTTGAGGGGTCCCCGGGGTGCTCGCCCTTCGCTGGGCCGGGGGCCTGCTCTGCAGAGCCCTCCGTGCCCCCGGGGGTGCCCCGCGGGCTCTGGAGCAACGCCGGGGAACTCCCGAGCGGCTCCCCCGGCACAGCGGGGCGCGGGGGGTGTCTCGGCTCTGCCACTGGAAGCCGGCGCACAGGGAGGCGGGTGCGCAGCGATCCAGGTGTTTCCCAGCGCCATCTCCCTCTTCCCTCCTTCCCTCGGTGCCCCCGAGGTTTGTGTTTGTGTTCTCTCCCCAAAATACCGGTGGGGTTTGGGAGCATCGCTCACATTGCGCGGGTTTTCTGCCTCGGAACAATGGCAGGGGCACAGCCGCCCTAAGACTAAAACAGACCCCAAACTTGGAGTTTTCTTTGCGTGCACTTCGCTGTACTCTGGTTAATGTTTGTTTTTTCCTGGTACACTTCAGTAGTCTTGGAGGGACTTCAGCAGGTGAATAGATGCAGTACTTCTGTTAGCTGAACTAACACCTCTCAAAGAAAAAAGTAGCCTCTCAGGAAAGAGGAATGCTTCAAAAGTTATAAAAATTACATAGCAGACACAGACCCCAGTCATCAAGCATGGGTTGGAGCTTGAGGCTGTAGATTGATTTTCCTCCGAATAAGTTGGAGCTTATTTTCCTACAATACAGGTCTTACTGATTATTTTCAGTTTTAGTAGTGAGGTTGCAGGACTTTACAGATGTGTAACTTGATTCAAGAAAATCAGAACTGTGCCCTGCGAAAGAAGCTCAGAATGGTTCATACTTGGGCAAAGTGTACTTTGGCTGTGTTGATTACAACGCATACATCTAACCATCCCTTTAAAAAGCTTTCTTTTTTTTTAATTTAAAGTTTTTAATGTTAATGCAGTAGTTGAAGGCCTGTGTCTTCTAACTGCAGCTGTTAACATGACTCATTCTCTACCTAACTACATGGGCTTTCTGAAAGTTGGGGGGGATTTTATTGTGCTATGCATCCTGCTTCCCCTCTGCTTGCACCCTATCACTCCTACCTCTCCTGTTACAAACTGAGCATTGGAATTTAAGCTCGAAACTAGAGGAAGATACATTGTTTCGACTCCTTGTCCGCTGGAGTGGACCATACTTGATACATAATATTCAGAAGTGAAAGCTGTGGTCATTGTTTAAACTGCTTTTTCCTGGCACTCAACAGCATTGAAACAAATTCTTGAAGTTAATGATTAGCTGGGTGTCCCTTTGAGATGGTTAAATTGTGCTGGATACTTGGGTTTATGAAGTGGTTTTACTATTAAATGTGCCAGGTGTTCCAGCTCTAATTTTGATAGAGCTTAAAGTGCTCAAGCAAAACTACATTTCTGTTTATTGTTTTCCACATTTTGTTGTCGTACTTTTAAATTATCGTTGTTCTTTGTGCCTTACCTGTGGTGATTGAGTTTTTTTTTCTTATTTTAGGGTATGCTGTTCCTCCACCGACATCACAGCCCAACTACTCGAGCACGTACACCATTATTCAACAGCCTGCTACCACCACTTCTGTGGTAGTAGTTGGTGGCTGTCCTGCCTGCAGGTAAAATGGCTCTTGAGTTGAGACATAAACTCAGTCTTGGGTTTTTATTTTTTAAGTTAGAGGTATCCACATGGTTCCTTGGTTTTCAATAGTTTTTCTTTCTGTGTGTGTGTGTACTACAACAGAGTTTATTGAAAAGCCAC